TAGGTTAAGATATAAAATTTGAGTAGTCTATAAATGGTAATTGAAATCAATTTAAATTAATATTAAAGGAAATAGGTGGTTTAAAAAATTCAACAAGGTCATCATTAGTTATATATATTTTTTCATCTCCTTTAATACCTTTTAATTATATTGTTGTACAATAACATGACAATATGGCGAAAGAGGAAAAAAAACGTTTATATTATGGATGAGCTTAAATAAAAATATTTTAGAAAATTATATTAAAAATATAGATAATAAACAAGGAGATAGTAAAAATTAATAAATGTTAACGCAGCCTTGAAGAAGAGACTTCTACTTACTATGTAGAAGCATAGGTTAGCCATAACGAAGTAAATGACACAAATAATGGTATGGATATTTTTAATAAGAGATTAAGAATATTTATTTCAAAAATTATTTCAAAATATAAAGAATTGATATTTGAAGACTTATGAGAGGAATCTTGAGAGTTTATTTTATGTGATTTGAGGATATATTGAGGTTTTGAAGGCTTTTCAAAATAAAAGATGTTTTCAATGGATTTGGATTTTGAAAAACAAGAAGAGTTTACTAATTTGAAGATTTTGTATGTCACATAATATATTTTTAAGTCAAATTTTGTCAATCTATAATTTTTTTTATTTAAATGTGTTTGAAAAATTTTGATATTAATCAAATAGTTAAATTGATAGTTTTGAGAGTTTTTGTAGGTTATGATCTCAGATAATTGAAATTTATGATTAGTAAGAGTTTTTACAATTGTGCAACATCTTCCTTTTTCATGAAATCACAAATTTGTGAGAGCAATTCAAACTTAGAAATGTACACACTAGCCAATTTTTGGAACAATTTATTAATTTAGCAAAGAAAAAATGCTATTAGAAGATCTACATTTAAATTGGAGAAAGAAGGCATCCAATATTTGAGAGGTTTTGGAAGTTTTTCTTTCAATTGGTGGGTTTGATTCTCTTCAAATTTTGTGTGCTTGTTAATTGCTTGTAGATTAAAATGTAAATGAAATTTCAGACAAGATCAATGGTTTGATTAATATTAATTGAGATTTTAAAATAGTTTTAGAAAATAATTAAGATTTATTTAGGATTTTGTTTAAATTATTTAGGATTTGTTTAGAATTTGGTTTAGGGTTTATAAATTGATTAGGATTTTATCAAAGTTTCATTAGGGTTTGCTCTAGAGTTTGTTTAGGATTTGGTTAGGATTTAATTAGGGTTTGATTAGAATTTTGTTAAGATTTGTTTATGATTATTAAAATTTTATTAATTAGGATTTGATTAGGGCTACATCAAGATTTGGTTAAGATTTATCTAAGTTTTACTTGGAATTTATTTAGGATTTCTATTTAGAGTATTTTTTAAAGATTCTTTATTATTTCTTTAAATATATATATATATATATATATTGTAGGATTCCTTTATTAGTTCTCTTTGAGATTAATAGATGACTTTTTTATGTATCTTTTGTAATTTTGTTTAAATTTCTTTTAGATTGGTTAAAATTTGATGAGGATTGTTAAATGAATACTTAGAATTTAATTGAAATTTTGTATGATACTTGATAGGATCTTATTGTTGCATTTTTCATATTATATGAAAATTATCAAATTGACCTAGGTATTTACTAAATCAACTCACCCATCATCATTGGTAGAGGATCCATTCATTTTTTTTTATTTTTTATTGATTTTTAACCAATGTGGATCCAACAATGGAAATTTTTTTGATGATGGTTAGGATGAGTGAATTGATTTAGTAAATAATTGGGTCAATTTAACAATCCCCTATTAATATTGTCTTTTTAAATCATAAACTTAAATTTACAAAGAACAAGTAATCATGTCTTCCCTTTTCAACAATCTTGTCTTTGGTTTGTATCCAACTGAAGGTTCCTCATATTCATAGAGAAAATTCCTTATGATGTGCTTCTCCTTCAAGCCAATAGTAATGTATAGGGTTTGGTTGACCTCGGTAAGCGAGTCGCACAACTGAAACAAACACAATAAATAAATAAATAAAGGACAGAAAAAAAACAAAGGAAGGAAGAGAAAAGAAAACACCCTGCCTGGCCTGGTTGCAACCAGCATACCCTCCTCATCAATCCCAGCTGGCTGACAGAGACTACAGTCCAGACGAATGGAAGAGGCCGCAGAGTCAGCATGCCCACCCACACTGCCAGCATGGCCGGTAGTCAACATGGATCTACTACTGTGGATGTATGAATCCATCGATCTCATGCAGATGAAAAACATTCCTTACGTGAAACATATTAACCATCCTGGAATTCCACAATTTTTTATTTGGTTTTTTGTGCCTATCCTACATGAAAAAAAGAATATTTCTGATATTATAACAATAAATTCTACTTGATTTTGAGTGTAAGAGTACAGCAAATGAAAGTGAAAAATAATGTTGCCATAATACTGATTTTGTCTCGTTTAAGCTGTTTGTGAAGGAGTTTTTTATTTTATTTTATTTCTATTTTGAAATGATAATTTCAGTTTCGATGTTATTACTAGATAATAGAAAATATCATACGCTTTCAATTATGAATATATATATATATATATATATATATTTTTGAAACATTGACACACATTAATTACTACCTGGTATACAATGAGTTAGTATTTCATATACACTTAGACCTACTACAGAACTAAATAAATAAACAAATTGTGAAATGTATGTGAGTACATACATATATATACAGACGTAATTTGAGTTTTATCTGGTGAATAACTGTTCAAAAGCTTACCATATGTATTGCAGGGATGATTACGCAAAGCAGTGGATATAATGGTGTGATCAGTCCAAACTCATGGTGAAGTTGAGACCAGGCAGTCCACCTGACACCTAAAACAAAGACAAAAATATGCAAAAATAAAATCCGAGTTGAAAATTCGTGACAGCTTTCATCAATGTAACCTGGCAATCCACAGTCTATTTGTGTCTACCAGCCTGGCTGACATCAAATCATCATCGGTGGATTCTTCTCATACAGCGGTGTTGTGGTTTTGTTCAGCTTCCACATTCCCATCTTTCCTGCACTTGTGTGTGTGTATATATATATTTATATATATATATATATATATATATATATGTATCTTACATAAATAAATAAATAAATAAATAACCCATTCCGACTTGTTTTATTATTTAAACATGTTTATGGTGTGGTGGGAAACTTTGTCTTAAAAAAATCTCTGAGTACACATCTCCACAGAACGACTCCAAATTTACATCAGTAGATGAATACCGTTTTGTAGATTATCATCCGCAGGGTTATGTCTAGCCCCCCCTTGAGCCTCCAATCAGAAACAAATTCCTTCTTTCAATATGAAATACCAAACTTCAAGGGAAAAAGTACATTGAAAAGTATGGTGTGTGTGACAAGGAAGTATTTTGTTACTCTCATGGTCAGAATTCAACTTGTTCGGAGACAAGATCAAAAAAATAATTATCTTTTACCAATTTATGTCATAGGTTATTCACTTTTTTGAGATTATACATATTTACTTGGGCAAACCTTGTCATCCTTACCACTCTTTAGTCATCAAGACAAGCAAGTACACCAAAAAAAAGGGGGAATAAGACTCAGGTTTTTATAATTTTGAATTACTCATGATGAAGAATATGATAACAGTGATGAATGCAGTTGGTTTCCATTGGTTTTGGTTCCAACAGTGGGTCAATTTACTAAAAAAAACTTAGGTCTATTTTACATCCCCCAAAAAATCTTGAATCGTAAAAACATTGAACACTGGAATTTATCCTCCTTAGTTCCCAGTTTAGGGGTGAACTCTTGGTGGCCCCATCATCAAATGTTTCCTAGAAAGGTAGTTCCACAGTGCACCTTGTTCCAGAAACTTCTGCTTCCTACAGGATTCCACTAGGATTAACTCACCCAACATGTGCATGTCAAAGGAGTTTGAAGACCTATCATGCAATTGAGGCCATTCTTTGTGGTCCCAGGAGTCAGACCAAGAAAATTGAAAAACAAAGGAAAAAAGACGGTTATAAAAATGGGTTATCGTAAATTGGTCGATGTCTCGTGGAAACAGACTTGAGTAAAGTCACAGTTGGACGCCCGGTGGCCGTCCTTTATTACGGAAAAGTGTGGGCTTCAATCTATTTCCGTGGCTGAGCTCATGATTGCGTAAAGCCCTGAGTTTTAGGGTTTCTGAAGTTGTGGGGCGGGAATAGGAGCAGCAGCAGCTTCTGCTTTACATTAAAACTGGTGGTGTGAGGACCACCACTACCTCTTGGGGAGTTTCACTAAGTAACATTCTATTCGAATGTGGAAGTACGATACAATCAAGGTCAAAAAGTAAAACTCGAGATAACCACATTTCGTTGACTATCCCATCCATCCACCAATAAATTCATTCACCCATAATTAATTCATTAATTAATTCACCAATCCATGGAGGCGTATTTGTTGAAAAAACAAAAATATGCTGTAGATTTTAAAGTGTTCAGTTATTCTAATTCATATTGTTCCGGAAGTTTCCGAAAGCTTAGTTAGGATGAAAACCACGATTGGATGAAAGTTAGTTGGAAAACAGTCACCGAGTTTCCCACTTGGATCCTTCATGCTGCTCAATCTGGGTTGGTGTGTCCTTCCTATCCGTTCTCTCTCCCGGTGGATGAGACCAGAGCAAGGGGGACTGTATGATAATATATAGCGGGGGGAATATTACCGGTGAGATGGAAGGAAGGGGGCAGCCGCCACGCACGAGTCCATTGCAAATGAACCTTCGCGGTTAGTAACCACGGGGCAATAGCTCATAGGCCTTTGTGCCATAAAATCCTCAAAATAACGCCCTTCCGGACGACACAGACATCTCACGTCGTCCAAGCGACCTTGTTCTAGTCCCCCTCCCCCTCCTCTCCTCCCCCCCTCGTAGCTACCTATCACCCTACTTTTCCGACCTACCATGCAATCAGCATCGCATTCAGCGCTGGCTTTGCCTTGGAGCCTTTCGGCTTCGGGTGCCGCAAACCTGACCCGCCCCGGACTATAAAACACCCGGCGTCGCCACCTCTTAGAAAACTCCTCTGCTCTCCTGGGAGTAAGCTTTTGTTTTTCGTTTGCTGGAGCTTCGTTAGACTTGCATTTGCTGTGTGTGCCTTGGACACGCCTTCCAGTCTTTCTGACCATTCAACTCGCGATCAGCGCAGTTGCGGTCTCGTTTGGTAGAGCGCGTCGGTGCATTTATGAGACTACTTACTTGCTGTCTCCATTGCTAGTATTGCATTGTCGAGGCCGTTCTGGAGAGAATTTTTTTAGTGGTGCTACCTTTGTTATAGTAGGGGTGTTCTTTACCTACTCGGAGACGGTGGAGGTGCTGTCGAAGCTGCGCTGATATAGGCGCGAGATTGCGTTTTCAGAGATTTTCCACGTTCGTCAAGACGACGAAGTTTGAGTAAGTGCTTGGGAATTGTTCGATGGTTGAGGGGTAGGGTTTCTGCAGGGAGGAGATTTGTGAGGTCATGTTTTTGTTTCTGGTTCATTTTATGGTCCTTTTAGTATTATTATTATTATTATTATTATTATTATCATCTCCTTCCGGGGCGCAGTATCTTTGGTCGGTCACCAGTGTGTTCTTCTTTACCCGCCGTTTTGATTGCGGTCGGATGCTCGGAGAGTGCACGGAGAGACTTCATTGTTGACGTGGGACGCTATGGTGTTGTTGTAGGTTATCCGCATGTTATAATGGAGACGAAAGGTGGTAACAAATCGAAGAAGAGTTCAATACAGTACGAAAGCCCCCTTGGATACGTGATTGAGGACGTGCGACCCCACGGAGGTAGCGAGAAGTTCCGCACTGCCGCATACTCGAACGTAAGTGTTAATCCTATTCTGTAGACTATATAATGAATAACTAGTTCAGATTACATGTGTGCCCCTATGCTTTTTTTCTGCGCCGGAATTTATTAATCCTATTTCGTTGGTTGGAAATGCAGTGCGTCCGCAAGCCATCCTGATATTTGCTAAAGGGGTATCGAAAAAATTAGTAGTGTAGTTTCAGTGTTCTTTTCCAATTCTTAGGAGCTGGTCTGTTCTTCTGCTTTCTTTTTCCTTCTGGAACGGCAGGTCAGCTCCTGGCTCGAGAAAACTATTTCGCTGCCTTTCTTTCTCTTTTCATCCCTGCAACACATTCCTTGCAAACTATCGCTTCACATCCTAGAAAATGGGTGTCTCCTTCCAAAATGACACGGGCGCGGTTGCTGGATCCGTGGCTAGTCCAGGGTTTGAAGGGTTTGAGAAGAGACTTGACATCGAGTTTCACATTCCTCCCATCTTCAGTGACCCTGCAGGACAGGGCTTGCGGGCTATTCCACGCACTGAGCTCGACCAAATGCTGCGAGCAGCAGAGTGCACAATTGTTTCACACATGAGTAACGCGGAGCTTGACTCTTACGTACTCTCGGAGTCGAGTCTTTTTGTGTACCCTCATCGTCTTGTTATCAAGACCTGCGGAACCACTCAACTCCTCCGCGCTATTCCTATCCTATTACAGGTAACTTCCCGACTGAATTTAAGGGTCAGCCGCGTGAAATATACCAGAGGAACTTTCATGTTTCCAGCTGTCCAACCATATCCCCACGGCAGTTTTACTGAGGAGGTGCGTTATCTTGAGGAATATTTTGGGAGTTTGGGCGATGGAGGGAAGGCATTTGTCATGGGCAGTAAGGGTAAGTTTCCTAATTGGCACATTTACACCGCAGCTGATCATGGAGCTACTGCTGAACCTACCTACACTCTTGAAATGTGTATGACTAAGCTTGACAGGCAGGCAGCGGGAAACTTTGTTAAGGCCCCTGGTTTGGAGACTGGACCCGAAATGACGAAGGTTGCCAATATTGACAACATTCTACCTGAATCGCGCATTTGCGACTTTGCCTTCGACCCATGTGGGTATTCTATGAATGGAATTGAAGGAGCAGCACATTCCACAATTCATGTTACCCCTGAGGATGGTTTAAGCTACGCCAGTTACGAGGCTATGGGATACAACCCGCGGCGTGTGGATCTGCCAATGCTTGTGGAGAGGGTTGTAGCATCGTTCAAACCCGCCGTTCTTGCTATGTCCGTGCATGTGTCCGACGCAAATAAAGCGACACACACCTCCGGATCATGGGATGAATCACTATGTCCGAAAGGTTACATATGTGATGGCAGTAGCCGTCAGGAACTGCCTTGCGGCGGCATTGTAGTGTTTCACACGTTCAAAGAAATTACCTTCTCCACTGTTAAAGAAGTGAGTATGTTTGCTGAACCTTTGCCACTATTTCGAGGTGCAGCCGGCGTCAGCAAGGGGTGCAAAAAGGTGGCTGTCAAGAAAAACAAAGTAAACAGAGGTTGAAATGGTGAGTAACACAATTGTTAAATATTATGTACTTTTTCTGGGCATGCACACTGCTTGCTAATCCTAGGAAAGAACCAGTACTGGCCAAAAATTGACATGTAAAATGACTAGCGTCAGTGTTGGGTCATGTTCTATGTCGAACCACATTGTTTAAATGTTGATCGAGTTTGAAGTCCTCACTGTTAACATTGTTTTCTGCAGTGACAAACATACCGGTACATTATACCAACGATGGAGAGTAGTATATGGAGGATGTATAGGATGCAGACGCTGCAATTATGCTACTGAATCCATAGTGAATGTATTCAGGAGTAGAAATGGGAATAATACATTTCGGCGTGCAGAGTTTTTCAGCTTTTTGGTCGACAAAGGGGTGTATTTGGATAGAGTTTTGCCTCGTAATTAAACTACCTACTTATGTAATAAATCTGGTTACATACGATTATATTTCTGCCTCCGTCCAATGCATAATGTAGGAATGAAGAATGTATAGAAATTTAATTTGTTCCACCATACCACAATCCATTATAATGCATGATATACATGCGGAGTACCCATCTACATGTACACGAATATATAATCATACCACATTTCGTATGCTTACACCTGCGCAAAAACAAAGTTCCCAGTGCAAACTACAGCAATTTCTCTACGAGCACGTCTGTATCTGTTACGGGGGAAATGTCACCTACACACTAAATACCTGTTATTATTAATATACTGTGAAAACACCTTACTACTGCAGCACATGTGAACATCTCACACTTCCTATGCTGCGACATATGCCTGTCCCAACTATTAGCCACAGCACCGAAACCAATGATTATGGTCAAGCTGGTACAATATCTTCATACTAACCGAGAAGCAAATAAAGCAAATATCCACGCAGATACCATCTACAAGTCTTCAATAGGCGAAGTGGTAAATGCATTCAGCGAAGGGTAACAATTGGTAACGCATGAATTGGACACGGAGCAGCTCCGATTTGCCCTGCTGAAAAAAAATCTTATCCCGAATTTCGAGCAAGCAAGTGTCCGATCAAAGGACAGCGGCTTGCCAGCGATACAAGCCACCGCAGGTTCGCGTTTCCACGACGAACAACACAGGAGTGATAATGACGCCTCTACAGTTTGCATTTGACCATTCTTCACCCACAGATACTATTCCGCCACCGATTTGTCCACAAGTCTCGTGTCATAAGATTTGATTGACAGAATGGATACAACGACACCTGGTAAAAATTGCCCACATTCGTAACCCCTTTGACTCAGTTTCCGTTAAACACACAACCGAATCTCTGCGCACAAGTTGCCGAACTTGAAAGCAAGACGTGTGGTGATCTCCTCCGTCGAAGTTGGGGAAGAGCTATTGAATGCCACCAGCGATTCCACTATAGCCGCCTCAAACACGTAGGTCTCTGTCAGAGACTCGCATCTTGAGATTCTACTGCAGTGATTGTCTCGGGATATGTCGAAATCTTGTGCTCCTGGTCCCTTCGCACCTTGTGCTTCGGCGCCAATTCAGCCATGGATTTCATGGCGATTAGTGTCCTCTTGTCTATTTTTCAAGTCGCTCTTTCAAGTCTAGCCTTGTCGATTTTAATATTTTCGTTTTTAGAATCTATGGTACGCTTTGAAGAGAATATTAACACATGTTTGTGCTCGTTTATTAAGTAAACACAATTTAATATTCCTCTGCGATTAGAGAAGCGATATATAATTGGGTATGATGGGCGAATCCAACAAGTTCCTTTGGAATTAGTTGATTTTTATTTTTATTTTTATTTTATTTTGGTTTAAGTGGGAGGTTGGAATAAACCCCAATGAGATCTAGGCGGAGGATTTTTTCAAATATTTAGAGACTTGTTATAAGAAGTTGTTAAAGCCACACTTTGTTATCTGATGATTAGTTTCGTCCATCCACCATTTTCATCCTTGTTCCTAGTCTCATGTCCCTTCTTTCCAGCCCCTCCAACTCCTTAATTCTATTTAATTCTATTCTATGATAGTAGTATAATATATATTCAATAGTTAGAAACATATAAATTATCAAAATTTATTTCAAGATTTTTTTGTAAATAAAGTCATATTTTTACTCTCATATTAACTTCATAATTATTTTACTTTGATTTGTAAATAATCTATGTTCTTTTACTTTTTATATAAATCACTTTGTCTTTTGATTAAAATATTATATATTAATTAATTAAATATTTATCTATTACTTTATTGCTAAAATTTTCCTAAGATATTCTTAGAAAGTAATTAAAATATTTTAATTTTTATAAAAATAAAATAAAATAAAATAAAATCTAAAATAAATAAATAAATAAATAAATAAAAATATATATTATATTATTTTTATTTATTTTTTTCAAGGATATGAATCTCAAAGAAAGAAATCTTCAATCTACTCTTGTATCACTCAAAAAGACTAAGAAATCATTCAAAGATAGTAATATATTGAATTAGAATGGCTATTGCCAAAGACAAAAAGACTAGAAAGTCTTGAAATAAGATTACAGACTAGAAAGGCCTTAACAAGAGTGAAAAAAGCTTTACTCTTGCCTCCACATATACTCTCTAATTAGGAGTTATGTGACAATATTTTATAGGACCTTAAACACATATTGACTTTATTAGATATATGTTTTCACTTATAAGGAAAATTAGCTATATATAGGCCATATAGTTAGCTTGTTCCACAAGCTATTAATATGTGTGATATGTGGCTAATTTTTTGACCAAGTTTCTAGCATATTAATTAATTATAAACACATGTAAAATCAAAGCCAAGTATAAAAAATATTATAAAATTAATCTATTTTTACATACTTCTATATAATCATATAGATAATTATTGAAATAAATATGTATGTCTGTGACATTACTTCCTTCTTCCCTTTTAGGAACAAATTCCACAAGGAGCGATTATTATCTTTCATAAATCTTAAACTTCCTCATTTTAGTTTTAATAGATGTCATCAATGAAAAGCTTCAAGCATCTTTGTTGTATTTCTATGATTCCTTCTTGGCTTCTATATGCATTTATTAATATCATATCCACACCAATGAATAAGATATTTCAATTTATTTCAATCCTGCTTTAAATTTAAGACTTCTTCTATCTTAAACTCTTAATTATTATTCATTTGTATGTGAGGAGGTGTTATTTGTCTTCTTCCTAAGATATTCATTATCTTATATGGCTCAAAAAGAGACATGTGGAATACAAGATGGATCTTCATAGGCTCCAATAGATGTAATTAATAAGCAACAAAATTGACTTGTTCACAAATAAGAAAAGGTCGAAGCCTATGATAGTCCAACTTGTTACAATAATGAGTAGTCTTGATATTGCGACAAAGTAACCATACCTTATCACCCATGTTGAATTGTGGTTGTTTCTTGTGATAAGCATATGTATTGATATTTTGTTGTTCTTGAGCTTGTTTTAATTATGCCTTCATTGTTGCATGTAGCTTTAACAAATGATTTGCCAAATCTTTTACTATAGGATTATCAATTTTTTAAAAGTCAAAAGTATGAAGTAATGGATGATAACCATAATCGGCAAAAAAAGTATTTTTTGAATAGAAGAATGTATCAAATTATTGTACACAAAATTTACCAATGGCAAAAGAATTGTTCAATTATCTTAATGATAGTTGATGGTACTCTCCAAATATTATTCTAAAATTTGACTCATCCGTTCTATTTGTTTATTAATTTGAGGATAAAAAGTTAAAAAAAGCTTTATATCCACCTTTAAAATCTTAAAAAAGATTTTCCAAAATCTTGATACAAATTGAGTCTATCTATTTGATATAATATGCTTAAGCAATCCATCATAGCAACAGAAGTTGTTAAGCAAAAACTTAGTCATTTTTTTTACTTATAATAGATTTTGTATAAGATAAAAAATATACCATCTTAATAAAATGATCTACTATCACAAATATTGAATTATACAAACCTAAGACTAAAAGATCCATAATAAAATCTATAAAAAAAGATACCATGATTGTTTCGAAATATGTAATGGCTGAAAAAATTCATAAGGTCAATGATGAGGAATTTTGAATCTTGAACAAATATTACATGATTGTACAAAGTTTTTAACAGCCTTCCATATTTGAAGCCACCAAAAATCTCTACATATTAGCTCTAAAGTCTTGTTATATCCAAAATATCCATCTATTAAAAAGTCATGATGAACTCAAAGAATATATAATTGTGCTTTGCTTTTTAGAGTATATAATTGTCCTTCTAAATAGAGTAGATTATTCTTAAAATTAAACTTAGAAGTATCATAAGACTTGAAAGAATTATTTTTAATATCATAAATAAGAAGATTAAAGGATATATTCAATTAAACTTGTTTGAGAAAGGTTGAGCTTTCCATATGCTTGAACAAGGTTTAAACAATTAATATTGATTTTATTATTCAAAGGTGAAAATCTTTCAGCTTCAAGAAAATTATTCTTTATTAATCAAAAGATACATTTTCTTCTTTTGGTATAAGATAAGAATATTTAGAAAGGATATTTAATAAACTTTGTTATTTTTCAAATAGATAAGTAATCTTGAAATCAAATCTTGATAAAGACATGCTTTAGTGAACTTGGGGGCAATTCAAAATATGTGTTGACATGAAATACTTGAGATTCTTCTAATTTATATATATAATGATTGGACTCAAGGTGCCTTCTAGCTAACAATACCATTCTTAAAATGAATCTACAATTGCAAGAAGCTCTTTGTCATAGATCTCAAAGTTAAATTTGACTATTGAATTTTTTTTGGAATGAAATGCTAATAGGTAGAGCTTTCCATATGCTTCCATTTGTGACAAAAAGAAAACTATAGCAAAGTCTTATCAATCTCTTTTTATAAAAAACACCTTAAAAAAATTAATATAATTCAAAATTGGCATAGAAAAAAATATTATCTTCAAGGATTCAAAAAATGTTTTAATTTCTTTGTTCTACTTAAATTTGCTTTTACATGCTAGATGAATAATAAGAGTGGCAACTTAAGAATTTTTTTTAATGAAGATCCTATGATAATTAGTAAATTTCAAAAAAATATTGCTTATCATTGATTGCTCTTGGAATCTTCTAATCTATAATGATCTTGAATTTCTTTGGATCCATCATTAATTCTTTGTTGGAAATGATATACTCTAAAAATTCAACTTAAGAAGTGTGTAATATACACTTTTCCATCTTGGTATATAATCTTGCATCTCTAAGTTTTTGTAAGATATGACAAATATGAAGTTCATATTTTTTTTTTTATATTTTTAGAATAGATTAGAATATTATCTAAATAAAAAACAATAAAATCATCAAGAAACTTATAAAAAATATCATTCATAAGATGTTGAAAAGGAGTTGGTGCATTTATGAGTACAAAAGGCATGATATTATATTCAAAATGTTCATACTTAGTTCCGAAAGTAGACTTCCAATCATCTCTTTTTTTTGTTGCCAATAAGGTTGTATGTTCCTTGTAGATCTATTTTTGTGTAGATCTTTGCTTGATTGAGTTGGTCAAGAATTTTGAAATCAAAAGTAAGGGATACCTATTTTTAATGGCAATATTATTAAGTCCTAGATAGTCTATGCATATGTGCAAAGATCCATCTTTTTTCTTCATAAACAAGATATGAGCTCTTGTTAGAGATTTTAAATGGTGTATGAAGTTTTTAGCCAAGTCCTTAGCAATGTATTTTTCCAATGTAGCCAATTCATTTTGCAATAAGTTGTAGATGAATTTAAACTATGGTTGAGCTCCTATTTGTAAATCAATTGAACAATCATAGGATTGATGCTCTAAAAGTATATCTACATTCTTCTTTTCAAAAACATCATAGAAATCTTGATACTGACTAAAAATACTACTTAACATCTTTTCACCATCAAAAATAAATGTGGCATATATAACAAAAGATGATCATTTTTTTGTTGCAAGCATAAATATTTTTGCCACTATTAATAAAAATTTCGATATATTAGACTTATATATTTTTATTTGACTAATAAAATTTTGGATCAAAATATAAAAAAAATTAAAGTTATAAAAAACTAATTTATGTAAAGTTTGTATTTTTCTAACCATGATAATCCTAAAATGATTGGATTGAAGGAAAATCTTATTATATTAAATATTACTACACTATTATGATCTTTAATTGCTATACCTAAAGGAACAACCTCATGGATAACATCTCCAAAAGATAGCAAATGATTATATATAGCTTTTACATGTAATAGTTTAATTTTCTTAACTAATGATATCTCTTATTTTTTGACAAAGTCTTCATCTATAAAATAGACTAAAGCTCCTAAATCTTATAAGACTAAGACTTTGTGATTTTTTGGTCTTAAAATAAACATCTATTATAAAATAAGGTGAAGGATCTAAGGAGAAAATATGACCTATACTATATATTATGTAAGTTTCGAGTTGCACAATCCCTATTATAGCTAAAAATATTTATTTTTTAACACATCATGTTCTTTAGTAACCATGCTCTTCATTTTGTGGCTGTGTTGCTTCTTTGGACAATATTGAGAAGTGTGCTTGGATTCTCTATAATATAAGTATAAACCTTCTTAACAATGATAAGTTTTTTCTTGTTCAATAAGAGATTTAAAATGTACCATGTCAATTTATATAGGCTCTGATCTGAATAAGTAAGCTTTTGAAAACTTAAAAGGTGTTGCTTTGGCTTGACTTCTACTTCTCTAACCAAATCTTTATTCGAAGCATCTTTTAAAGAATACTTTTAAGAATGAATTGAAATAATAGAATAATTATATATATTTTTTTTAAATTAAAGGTACAAATAAAAAAGAATATTTTTAAATAGAAGTGTGCTTATGAATCCAACTTAAGTAAATCCAACAAAATATTAGATAGGATGCAATCTTAAATAAAACTCAATTTGTTACAAAAATCTTTGAAATTTTGATTTTATTCCATCAAACTTTTTGGGCATACTAATCCTTGCCTCTTTTGTACTTATAGAAGTGGAATTTCCTAAATTTGGTTGTAAGATTCATCTACTTACTTCTTTTAACTGTACAATTTCTTAGTGTTGACTCTAAACTTTTTCCATATATATAGGAATAGTATCTCTATGATTCACATTAGAAATATATAAGATTTCTTATCTTAGAATATTGACAAGCTTATGATGATGTACAATAGTTACAAATCTATTCTCACTTCTATCAAAAGTAACATCTATAATCATTCCTTCTATAGACAACTCAAATAAGTTCAAAAAGTTAAAATAAAGGAAAGTAATTTGCAACCTTTAATATCAAATAAAAATTTCTATAAAGAGGGATAATGTACTCTTTTTAAGGAAAAATTAAAATCAAAAAACTAAACTATTTGTTTAAATGTAGGTAGTCCACAACCTTCAAAACACAACAATAGAAGTGGGTTAATCTACTCACTTCTAAAACATGACAAGAACAATAAGTTAATAATCTTGTCAAATTGTCAAGGACATAAATCTCAAAGAAAGAAATCCTCAATCCACTCTTGTGTCACTCGAAAAGACTAGAAAATCACTCAAAGATGGTAATATATTGAATTAGAATAGCTATTGTCAAAGACAAGAAGATTAGAAAGTCTTGAAACAAGACCAGGGATTAGAAAAGAATTGATAATAGTGAAGAAGGTTTCACTCTTGCTTCCATATATACTTTCTAATTAAGAGCTACATGGTGATATTTTATAAGACCTCAAACACAAGTTAACTGTGCTAAATAGATGTCTTATTTTAGAAGACGAGTTATTTATGTATGGGCCACATAATTAGCTTGTTTTATAAGCTATTAACACATGTGACATGTCGCTAATTTATTGGCCAAATTTCTAGCCTACTAATTAATTGTGAACACGTGTAAAATCAAAATAATATCTATAAAGCTTCTAAAAAGTCTTTCTAGAAGATATTATGAAATTAACCTACTTTTACCTATTTCTATCTAATCATATATGTAATTATTATGGAATAAATAGATATATTTGTGACACTCTTTTAGTAATGAATTCTATGAAAATTAGATAAAATATGACAATTTTAAAAACCATACATACATACAAATAATTTTTTGTCTTTCAATAAATTATTAGATTATATGAGGATCTTTAAAATTAAAAATAATAGACAATATCAAGATGAGATAACCAGTTATAAATTTAATGTATATTAGTATATGTATAAGTTTTTTTGAACATAATTTGATTAGCTCTTTCAGTTGAAAATGTCTCTTGAACAAAATTTTAGACAAAAAATATATAATAGTTGTAGGCAAAATCAATATTTTTTAATAAAAAATATGGTTAACAAAAAATATTTTTTTTCAATATAATTAATTATACTACCATGTTATTGATTTTTTTAATCTTAAAAATATTAATGTATTTACTTTTAGAGATTTATAAATTTCTAGCCAAGTTAGTATTATGTTGCAACGTTATCCAATCAATCTAAGCTTAATTGACTTGTTGTTGTATTGATAATATTTTAAAGTGAAATACAATTAACTTTTTAATTTGTAATTTTTTTTTGAATATTAAAAATATGTATATTTTTTATTTTTTATTTTTTAAATATAAAAATAAAGATTTTATCTTATTAGATAAGGCTCTTTTGTAACCATAGTTAAATTGCTTAAGTGTGTTTGCAATTTTCTTTAATTGTAACTAATTGTGGTTTGACAATATATTAAAGAAGCTTTCAATCTTATTCTTCAAATCACATCTTCTTTTATCACTATAGTAAAATATTGATAGTAAAAAATGAAAAATTATATTAATATTTTATTGGATTCCATGAATTCTCCAAAACATATTCTATTAATCTATTCTCCTTCTTGAGTATGTATAAAGTTTGAAGAAAGCTTCTTAAATCTACTAAAAGCCTTTCCATGAAAAAATAAGTCTTTTCAACACAACATTCTATTGACCTTCCAACTCCATCCTAAATCCTAATAAACCCTATTCCATGAATCTTTTCATGCCCCACCCTAAATCCTTGAAAAACCCTAAATTGTCCACTTTACTTTAGGTAGATTCGACCTTCGCCACATCATGGTCGAGCCACATGGATCAATCGCCATCGTAACAATACAAAACTCTTGTGGGCACCACGGAAAGGCTCTTGTGGAGGCCTGTCGGTAACGACACTGCCCACTTTTTGCAAAATGATGTTGTCCAGCTTTGCCAATGCCCCAATTGTACACTGGAAGAGTGCGTTACAAACCCAACTCATCCATGCTTTTCAAAAGCTTCAAGTAGCAAGAGAAAGGAAGGAAACTACTGGAAGAAGAATGAGTGGACTCCAGAGTGCTAAGCAAAATATCTGGTGGTTATGTGTGTGATTTTCCTGCATGTAAAATGGAACAGCTTGCTTTGTATCGAATTCGTGGAGTTCATCCGAAGCAAGAGGAATATACCCCTTAAGTGGAAGTCCCTCCCGGCTTGTTGTGGAAATCCTAGCCATGGAGGCTGTTTGGAAGTGGTTCAACTAGTTGGAGTTGGAGTGGTCCATGCTCTCTCTCTCTCTTCACAGCCAGGCTTTTCGCCTCAAACCCGCTCGGCACTACACAAAGGCTTTGGCTCTTGCCACACCTACGCTGCATTAGAGGTCTTGGTTCACGGCAATTGTGTATTATTAGGGCTGGAGTAGTGGTAGTGGTGGTTCTTGTTCTTCGAATCCGCAGCTTTGCAGTGATTCAGATCTCAGATAGCATCTCTTTCCCACAAAGGTTGTTCGATTCTGACATCTGTAGTCAAAAATCAGAATGTTAGTGAGATTCTTCCTTTACATTTACTGCTGCGTATCCTTTTCAGTAAATAAACGAGAGAATGAACAGTAAACAGTTCATGTATGTAAATATATATATAAAAAAATTTATATACATGTGTGTCTGTTGAAAAACAAGGAATCTTGCCAGAGTATCGTGTGGTTGCTTCTTGAGTTTGCAAGGAAGAAATATTAATTTTGTGTAACTCATTTATGTCAAATGTGCATTTCAACACTTGCATGTTATGACATGAGATATAATTTAAGCCTTAAGAAATACCTGCATCCTGAAAGAAAGAAAAAACGAATAGAAAAATAATGCTTTCATTTATGTGCTGCAGTTAATTCTAGACCTAACATCCTTGTGGAGATTCTTGTTCATCATCATCAATAAGAAAATTATAAAACAAAACATAAAAATGAAGTAGAGAAGAATGTAGAGGAGGTTACAGAAACAAATTCAAACTAATAATCTTGTTGAACATGCACATAGGAGGTATTCATCAGCATTTTTGATTTTTTTTTAAAAATGAGTGCTAAGTCCAGAGAAAAGAATCAACATACCCCCACATTTTGTTGCTCCAATTTCTGTCCTATTTCCAAAGCATGTTGCTCCGCACAGGACTAGTCAACATGCCCAAGAATGTTAGACCTACTAGGACTTTTAACACAGCATTCTCGACGTTAGAGGTGCTCAGAATCACTAAGACACAGCATTGTGGATTGGGTACAGTGCCATCTGCGAGGCAAACCGGCACACAGAAGGCTCCAGCTGACACAGCACCTGAAGCATGGCATTTGCTGGAAGAGTATTTCAAGAGCTCTCAATACAACCTTCATTTCCCCCCCCCCCCCCCCCCCCTGTAATCACGTTTGTGAAATCATAAGAATGATACCGACTAAATTCTTACTCGTAAACGAAGGCAGTTTAGTTTCCGAGTATTGAAAATTTTGTTCGTGCTTCTCAACAAAACGCTCATGGACAATATGCGCTTCATTTGGTTAAGTCCAAGGACATGGATTTGAGTTTTGGATATCACAAAAGACCTCTACAGACTCATTTCCTCCGGGAGTGGATCACCAGTGGGCACATCCAACATCAAGTGAAAATGTTGATGAAGGCAGCTCTCAGCAGGCTGCGATGTTCTGCACAACTTCAGGATTCTCAGCTCATGGAACTACACCTCCTGTCATTAGAAAAGTTCGAATTCCTATTCGAATGCCGAAAACTCAGCACACTAAAGTGTGAGGCATGAGCCAAGTTTCCTAGAAGCAAAATGAGTGAAGTTAAAGAATTAATTCGTAATCAAGTCCACTGGCTTTTTGAGGTTCCTTCAGGATAAACATTACGTCCAGCAGAATTGCAACCGTCTTGTGCCAAGGGCATCAAAAAATTACTTCAAAGAGTCGTAAATTTCCCAACCGTATAATCTCCCGAAATATGATTTTGCAAGACAAGAAATTCTTGACTCACATAGTTCTTATTGGTTTCACAATTTGAACTTTCTAATAAACAAAGGATACGCAGCTTTCTTTTCTTGAAGGGCCCTCAACCGTTGCAGAAGCGAAGAGATCCATCTAAAGCTTGGAAAGATGTCTAAAACATTTGAACTCATCGTGGTACAGGGGATGTTGAACTTTCAACAATGTAAACATGAGACTGTCCATAAGCTGACTCCAAGCCTCCCAATTTCCTTTGGGCCAAACAACAGAATGGAGAGATAATCGATAGACAGCACCTGGGATGAGAATGAAAGAGGAATATTGAGTGACAGTAAAATTTGCATTAAATACTTACATGCTGCACTAGGTGTAGAAGATACGAAGAAGTGGAGAAGCGAATTCTAGGAAGGATGGTGAACAGTTGAGGTTGAAAGAATATCTTATGCACTCAATAGGGCGAAATGATCAAGAAAGTTTGTTTTGGTTTAATACACTAAATGTTGCCTTTTTTCCTGTGTGAGTAAAAACCATTCCCCTTTGTTGCTGAGTCCGACGTGGGTAACGAGCTTCATGTACCGCCATCTCATTGAATCGAATGCGGTTTTATGCCCACCATGTCTGAAAATTTCCTGTTTGACTTGCATGTGGAGTGCATTGTGGCCTCGCAAATCCCTATCCTTTTCCTTTCATAACAAAACTCATAGTTTTTTCTGAACTATCTTGAGCCATATGGTCGAACATGCAGCTGCATGCAGGACATGCGATCATCGTAATAAACCTGGCCAGAGAAAGACACCGCTAATGTTGAGATCATGAACTGAACCACACAGTTGGGGAAATCACTAGACGAACCCAATTATAGAAAAACCAACGTAAATGAACGGAAAACAATCTTCAGATACCTTATACCAGATCGATTCCATATCTAAATTTAACTGGATGATGTCCGTTACCACGTATGCAGTAGACCATGAGAATAACTCGGAGATTGTCTTCCAAAACACTGCCAGAGAACATCCAACCGAAAGTGATGAGAAAGAATATAAATAAGTAAATAAATATAATACACACACACACACACATGTATCAATATATGAATCCACCGTGAAAAAAACACCAACACTCGTCACCAGAAAACTTGTTCATAGAGCTCACACAACCACCGGAAACCCTAATTTCCACTCGCTGCCTCGCCTGCGATCCGCAACCACCGATCTTCAAATGGTCCGTTTGCTGCATTAGAACAATCAACATTGCCTGAACCCATCGCCTCGCAACACACACATGGTGTCAAAACCCTAAAATCTATGTTGCTTGTGCACTTCATCACCAGGCTTGTGACGACTTGAAAACTATAATGTCCAGATTAATTATCAATTTACACTAAAACAGATATTTGAAGCATTTTTAGGTTTTTGTTGTGTGATTGTTTAATATTGATGCATATTCTACAATATATACAATACTTGTCAAATAAATCTTATTTAAAAATCAATGCTATTTGCTTATAAGATATTATAATTGTATTTTTTTTGCTATATAACCATACAATATATGTAGAAATAATTATTTAAAATAAATTCTAAGAACATATCAAAGAACAAAAATAAATAATCTATATAAGATATATAGTATGAATATTATAATACAACTAAATTTTTTTTTTACAAAATCATCTCATTAATGTTGAGTAATCAAAAGATGCATCTTTGTGACCAGATATTAATTTGGATATTAACAATTATATATCTTCTATTAGTATATATAAGAAGCAATACTTCTTTTTTAATATTGAAGTATATATACTTGTAATGGTACTTATGTAATATGATATCAAAGTAAGCCACTTAGAGATTAGTAGCTTCAAGAAAGTTCAAGCAACTTTATGTATGAGAGTTATGAATACAACAATATAATGTGTGAGTTACTTGAGCAAATTATTAGAATCACAATAGTAAGGTTGAAATAAAAATAATGAATTCTATAATAGCCACTTCAAAAATATTATTTGGGCTTGAGAACTACAAATCTTGTAAAAATATTATTAAAAGTATTTTTGAGAAAAAAGATCTTTGAGAGGTTGTTTATTTAGTATTAAAGTATGTAAAATCATTATAGTTAAAGACAATTCTAGCTGATACTCGAGATTCTTTCAAGATTCAAGACCTCTAACAATCAAGAGATGATAGAAGAAAAGAGATTAATAATAAAGATGAAGAATCAGGAAATAAAAGTCCAAAGAATTCCAAATTTGTAATTGCACCCATAGTGACACCTATCACCTTATAAAAAAGTAATTTCATGGAAGAAAAACTAGAGTAATAAATTTCCTTAAGTTATCTCTAATAGATATGGTGAAATCTTATATATTACATATCTTAGACTCTATTATAGTATAAAAAGTTTTAACAAATGTATACTTAACATAAACTATTACTAATATTATGGTTACTCTAAATAAATGAAAAAACTTAAAAATATCTAATGATATAACAATCTTGTCATTTCTATAGTATGTTTATGACTTACCCAATGACTTATAAGAAATAAATTAACTATCTTTAAAAATAGTAATAATTCATAAGATTTCCAAAAATCTGCTTGTAAAGTTTGAAATTTTTGTAGGAATACTAAGAGCTAAGGAAGTCATTTCTACCTTAGCTAATTTAGCTAGCAAATTGCATATGGAAGAGATTGATATAAAACTATGATTTGACTCTTAAGAAAAAGCATTAGTTTTTAGAATAAAAAGTGCTTTGAGAAATCAACAACACCTAGTTTTTGGATCCAATAGCTCTAGCTTTATATTAGCATCTTCATCTCAACCATTATACTTCTTATAACAAAATCAATACTTTAAAAAAAATAAATGAAGTCTCAAGAAGAGTAAGTTTTTCATTGCTATGGAAAACCTGGATATATAATAATATAATATTGAATCATAGAACTACTCTTTTTTGGACGTTATCAACTAAGAACAAAGTATCTAGAAGATTTATTCAATGAACAATCTCTCACTCCAAATGATATTTAAACTACTTTATAAGTGCCACCGGTAGCATCTTCTTATGATAAAGATTGGATAATAGATAGTAAAATATCGAAGCATTTTTCAAAAAATCAAGAAGTATTCTTGTTGTTAGAAAGGTCTACTAATTATATCTCAATAGCCATGGCAAATAAAAAGGCATACATTGTACAAGGTCATAGAGATGTTACTCTACTTAATTATACTAAAGAAATAAATAGTCTTTGAAATATTTTATATATTTCAAAATTAAAACAAAACTTCTTATTTGTTGGACAATACATTAAAAGCAACAATCATATCTTAGTTTTTAAAAGGAATAAATGTATTTTTCTAATTAAAAAAAATCTACCATAGTTAGTCATTGTTGGATATTGAGATCTTTTATTAAAATTATATAAGTTAATTACAAAAAAAGAGGTCTAAAATTCCAAAGTATGATATTATCTTTAATATTAAAAAAGATTTTCAAGTTGAAAGCTCATAATTAAAGCTAAATTCAACAATTATAGTTTGACTCTTTTATTTATGGCATTGTTGCTTTGGCTATATTGGCTTCTTTGTATTAGCTATGCTAGGCTCAAGTGGCTTGTTATATGAACTATTGAACTTTGAGGTAAAATAGACAATATGTTATCATTGCCTTGAAGGTAAATATACAAGAGAACAAATATCAAAAGGTGGAACATCAAGATTAAATAAGTTGTTAGAATTAATCCACTTTGACCTTTATGGTCTATTGCTACTGAATTTTCTTTTAGGTACTAAATATTTTTTAATATTTTTTAATGAATATATAAAAAAGATCTAGATTTATTTTTTCAAAGAAAAAAAATAGATGCTTAATAAGTTTGTTGAATTTGTAACCATGATAGAAAAACAAAGTAGATATTAGATAAAATCTATAAGAATAGATAATGATGAAAATTTTATTTCAGGAGCCTTTGAATTTTTTTTGCAAATCTTGAGACAATCTTATGCAAATATATATACCTCAACAAAATGGAATTGTTGAGTAATAAAATATAATAAAATAAGAATGAATTAAATGCATATTACTATCAAAAAGAATGTCCAACTTTCTATGTCAAGAGGCAAAAAAGACTACAATTTGCTTACTTAATAAAAATCCAATCTAAGTAAATGATCAAAACTTATTTCTAAAAGAAGCTTTTACTGAAGCCAAGCCAAAATTGCATCATCTTAAGATTTTTAATTACCATTTTCATGTTTATATTAGAGTACATATAAGAAATAAATTCTAATTTATATCAATATATAGGAATATAATAGAATATGATGATTATATCAAGATCTATCACATTTATCTATCTATGCTAAAAAGAGTCACAATTTGAAGAGACATAGT